CTTGTTAAAAAGAATCAAGGGTACTTGTTCAGGAATTTTCTGTTTTACTGTTATTCCATTCTCACTCTCCCAACTGAAGTAGAATGTATGGAGTGAGCAGTCCTGTTCCTTTTCTGTTCTAGTTGAGCTTAAATGTTTAAAGATAAGAAATGAGCTTTAGAATGTGTAACCTGTTGCACTGCAGTTGGTAACACCTTTGGTAACATGGAATTCAGTGTAGGCCAGCTTATTCCAAGTAGCACCTTCTCAGCCAGACCCTTAGATTAAATTTTTCTCTTTTGAAGTGATTTTGCTAAATCAAGATTGTGGAAATTAAGTAACAGCTGTTGGTTTAGTGTCTTACTGTCTTTTGGTAATGAAAAGTTGTGCCTTTGCTGTGGAAGTTCAATTTCAGTAACTAAAAAAATTAGTTCAATTCAACGAAAATTCTTTTGAAAACCTTTGAAAGATTTCTGTACACTGCTTTGTAGCCAATCTTTTTAACTTTGTGTTTGAAACTATTTAATAATTAATTTTATATTGATTTAGTTTGAATTTTTGACGTTAACTTTGAAACCTGTTTATATTACCACTCTGCAATAAAGACAGAGAAATTGCATGAAGTGCGGATATTTAAATAGTACCCATCTACTTGCACACATCACTTAAATGCAGTTTTTGTGTTACATCCTACTGCTGTATAAAAAAAATCCTTGCTATTTCTCAGAACTGATATGAGATGCTTGAGGGAAGTCTTGAAGACAAAAATATAATGTGGCAGTTAAATAGAAGTAGGAGATGCATATAATTTTCCTTATAAGATAATTAAGAAATAGAGCATATTGTAAATGTCCATATCTGGTTTCCTTAGATGTGCTAATTTCTTAAAAGGAAGGTATCATAGACTTGTAAAGTGGTTTGGGTTGGAAGGGACCTTAAAGCTCATCCAGTCCTACCCCCTGCCATGGGCAGGGACACCTCTCACCAGACCAGATTGCCCAAAGCCTGGTCCAACCTGACCTTGAACACTTCCAGGGAGAGGGCATCCACAAGTTCCCTGAGCAGCCTGTGCCAGTGCCTCACCGTCCTCAGAGCAAAGAATTTCTTCCTAATATGTAATATAAACCTACCCTCTTTCATCTATTCTTTTGATATTTGTAACTTTGAAAAGCAAATTACTGCGATTCTGTAGGGCATTTCCTCTTTATAAGTATAATTAAACTGAATGTGTTGTTTTGCTTTGTTCTGTTTAATAGAATGATATGACACCAGTCCGGTTACAGTGGGGAGAAATTCTTATGCCACTGCTGAAGAAGTACAAGTTGAACATAACATGGGGTGATCAAGATCTATTGAACATTATGTTTTTTCACAATCCAGGTAAATACACACTGATTCTAAGTCTAACATTTTTCTATGATGTTCAAAAATCCCGGAAAATACTCTTTGAGCAGACTTTTCAGTGAAAGTATTCAAGGGACTTTTCCCATCTTTCGTTTTCTGAAAATGTTTACTTTGAGAGACAGCTTTGGAGCTTCCTAGAGTGTAATTAGCTTTTAGGTTTCAAAACAATTATACAGAAATTTATGAAACAGCCTTAAGGAGGAAAGAAAAAAAGAGTGAAAATCAGTGTGGTTCATGAAACACTTTTGATACTTAATCCAGAGTTCTCATTTTTCTTCACAGAAAGTCTTTATGTCTTTCCTTGCCAATGGAATTATCGGCCTGACCACTGCATCTATGGAAGCAACTGTAGGGAAGCTGAAGAAGAAGGTATATTTATACTTCATGGAAACAGAGGTGTTTACCATGATGATAAACAACCGACTTTTAGGGCTGTCTATGAAGCAATAAGAAATGTAAGTGTTTTCAGCATTGTACTTGAACAACGTTATTTTTTTCCTGTATCTTTATCTACAGTGCTGCATGTATTTTGTAGGTTTTGTTGATACCTCGATTGCATCAAGGCATTTTTTTTCTCTTTTTGTTTATTGCTTGGATAGAATTCCAGTGTATTCCTGTTGTGATAAGCATCTTTTGAAGCACAGTGTAGACTATGTCTAGATTAGGATTCTAAAACATTGCCTGTAATTGTCAGTGTCTATTTAAAAGGCTTTATTCCCATTCCTTTCGTAAAGACATCTGGTAAACTCTTTGTATAAGCATTTGGAATGTCATTTTTTCTGAAGATTTTAAAATGCAGAAAAAATGCCACCTTTTTATGGAAGTTTGTGTATGTTTACCACACTGTTTTAACATTTAATTGTAGCTAGATTTGGATTGTAGAAAATACTTTTTTTAATACTGTATTTTGACCTTTTCTGGAGATGCAGTGTATTAGTGCGGTGCTGCTCCTTTAAATACTAAGCGCAGTGACTTCTTTTCATTCTGCAAATAAGTCATCTAATAAACTATTTATCACTACATCAGTATACTCACTGAAAAGCTGTAAAATTTAGCACTGATGCACATTTTAATGTAGCAGACTATTGTGTGTGTATAACCTTCAAAAATCAATAGTATATTTTAATGGTGCTTTATTACATGTTGTCATATGGATATAAAAATGAAGAAAAGTACTTTTGGGGGTCTGAGAATACATTGCAGGGAAAGTGAATGTGTTTCCATAAAAATACGATTTCTTTGTTTCCTTTGAGCATTGTCAGAAAGAGAAGAAAAAATTATTTCTTTTTATTTATGATCCCATTTGGTTTATGAATATGTCAGAGAAAGTATGTAAAACACTGCTGATTCAGTGGTAATAAGATGAACGAAGTTGGTACTCTGAATTGCTGTTCTAGCTTATCATTTGTTTATAAAAGATATTGCACTGTTGAATTAATGACTTCTTTATTTCATGTCCATGTTAAACACTGGATGTTTTTGACCATCATTCAGTTTAATGAAACTTCAGTAGTACCGCTTTTCATACTGTTCTTTCATTATAATTTGATGATAATTGTATTTCTTAAAAGTTGTATATCATTCAAGAAAGTTACTGTTGGCAAAGAAATAACCAGAAATCATTTCAGATCTGTAATTTTTTAGTTTAATAAGGTAATTTTAAATTTTCTCCCCATTTGTCTGAATATGTTAATTTGCTTACTTATTCTTTTTTAAAATCTTACTTGTTAGGCTTATTGAAAGTATTAGAGTGTATTTCTGTAATTTAGAGTTGTTTTCAAATATTGCATTGAGAAGCTCTCCAAGTTCTTGAAAACATTTAGTAAACTACAGAAAGCAAATATGATGTTCAAAGTAATTTTTCTAAAACTTTTTAATAACTCTGAATAGTGACACTCTTCCATAATGACCTTAAATCTTCTTTTCTTAACCTCTTTACAGTATTCTTTTGGAGATGATCTGGTTCATTCCCTGTTGCAGCCTCTAGAACTGGAATTAGAGAAAACCATGCATACATACTGTGGAAGAGTATACAAAGTGTTCATAAAGCAACTAACAAAAAGTGTAAGAGACTTGTATTCCAGAAGATCAAAGGGAAGGTGACTTTTACTCCAAGCTGTTAAATCTAGAGACTGAATTAACATAGCGGTCAAAAGGTGCAAAAATTCTAATATGGCTTGAATTGACTCTTAAGGTGCCCAGATAAAACTTTACTAGCATAAATAAAAATGAAGAAAATACTCATGTAATGAAGAACAGGAACTTTTTTTCTGCAAAAGTGACTTTTCTCTTTTGAAGTTTAATCACTACTAATGTTCATTTTGGATCCGATGATTTGGGTGTTACTGGCTTCTATGGTCAGTAGTTTTAGTCTGCATAATTCAGATACCTAATGATCAAATGAACAAGGAAGAAATGAAGATGGCTCTATTTGGGAGTGTACCTCATATTGTCTGAAATTCTGTTAAACTGTGAATGTAGCAATAATTGAGTCAGCGGCACTAACCTCACTTTAAAGGTGTGAGCCTTTATGTAAACAAAGCTGTTTACAAGTGCAGAAAATACTCTGTTTTCAAAGAATTGTGATACAGTCATTGACAATCTGTATGTGCCTTTATATGTTCATCTCTTACATGTTGAAGTACTATTTCGACAATCTTGTTTTGCTTATCTTAGATGTAAACTGCACACTATAAATATGATTTTCAGAGAAATTAATAACTAGTATGTGATACTAGTTTGATATGGAGACTTTTTAATATACAGCATTTGTTTCAATATTGTTGAGCCATTACGGCCAAAAGATGGAGCAGAGTTGAGGTGGTTTTTAGCAAAAATTCAGTATGAAGTTGTCTGTCTTACGAAACCTTTTAAAAATTACATGGTTTTGCAGCTTTACAGGGCATTTTGGAATTAGAAAAAAAAAGACAGTGGAAAGCTGCTGTTGTTGTATTTCATTACTGAGAATCATTACCTGATGATTATTATAGAGTATTTAGTACCTAAAAGTGAAAAGCTGTAATAAGAGTTCTGGTGCTTCATCAGACTGTATATTATATGGGTTTCTTAGAGACTATATCCTGTGACGATATTTTTTTTTTAATAACATGGCTTTAAAGTAGTTTTGGGGCAGACACTCAACTACATGAGTGCATTACTCTGTCAATAGGGTGATAGTGATTTACAACAGGTAAGGATTAGGCTTTTTTAGTTTTTTTAGTGAAAGAAACATTTTCTGTTTATGTAATACAAACTTTTTCAGAGAAAAACATGAAGAAAAAGGCTGAGTTCTAGTGTTACAGGAAAACATTATTTAAACTTGCATGGTATGAAATGTACTTGTAAAGTATATTTGAACTTGGATAACCTGTCTAACTGAGATGAAGTCTTCATAAAGTGAGGTTTTGGATTCCAGAAAAGTTCCTGTGTGTTGAACATGGATGATGCACTCACTGACTTGCACCTTCATCCCAACCCCATTTTAGAAGCTTAAATTTTGTGGCTGTTTCTTTTGACAAAGGCACGCTGGCTCTGACTTGATGACCTATGTGAGCTGGATAAATGCTTTAGCAGTAGAAAAACACACTCCATTGTAAGCAGAGTTTATAGTCTGCTCCTAATCTCCCTGCTGGCTCAGGGTGTGAATTCTGGAGTGGAAACCAGAAAGCAGTCTGCCTCGCATGTAGTTACTGTCTCTTTTCCTTGCTGTGTAACCTTTTGAAGTCTGAAAATCCAGAAAACTGTGTGAAGGTGAATACTGTTATTGACTGATTTTACAATATGCAATGTAATATTTTTTTACATAAATACTGATTTTTATATCAATTTGTCTTCAGCTTTTTTTTCACTCGCACTGTGTTTATTTAAAAATTCTTCCAGTCTGTTTTTTGTTTTTATCTTTACAGAAACTTTCAGGTTTTAATTGATTTTTAGTGCGTTGTATGCGTGTGAAGATACTAAGCCATTAGAAAAAGAGTGGAATGTGAATTTCACCAGAAACCTTCTACTTAAATTTCAGTTTTTGTGAGGTATTAGAACCAAAAGGGTTGATATTGAAGATTATCATAGGATAAAAATCCTTACTTTGTGATTAATTCAAGAGATGTTTACTTAGCATATTACAAATAGCTGAATGTACTGCCTTATGCCATAGTTTTTAATTCTTATTAATATGAACTGTTTACTTCAACTATCCATTCCCAAATAACACTCATGAACACTTCAGAAAACTTAAAACCAGCCAGTGCTTAGTAGTTTCCGATAAATAACTCTCCATTGTCTGTTCCAAATAAATTTTTAGTTCTGTAATCCCTATGTCTTATATGTAAAAGGATGGCCTGCCTTTAAAAACAAATGGGACTTACAAAGAAAACATTTGGAGACAATAAGAAAACTGGGAAACCAAGTAGCGTGATAGAAACCAGTTATACTCCCAGACATTTCAGTACCTGATTTGTAAGATTATGGACGAAGTGTAGAAGTGTAGAAACTTATATCTAGCCTGCGAATCTTTATTGCTGTCTGGTTTTAGAAACATTGTTTTTTCTGCAGACATAGTCAGTAACCAATGAAACAGGACTTGACAAATTACAGAACTTTAGAAACCTCATTTTTACTGATTTATTTGTTATAAAATTATTTATTGCTAATAGATTAATAGAAATTTCATAGGAAAACATAAACATCAGGAAATACACATTCAGATTAAATTAAGATATATCTGTCCTCATCATGCTTGATTTGTCTCTGTACCATGGTATTATTTGGTCTCTGTTTAAAGGCATTAAAGTCTCCTGGTGGAAGAGATACATTTGAAGCCAGTCTTCTTCCTTTTCCTCCTCCCAAATGATATTTCCCATCTAGACAGCATGGAAAAGCAAATAACTGCAGTGCAGTGGTGGAAAGAGGGAAGGGTCTGGGTCTGCTTGGAATGTTTAAAAGCCAAACATGTAAGAGGCAAAGCTGAAGGTGTAATGAATTATCTATGTGTGCATTATTTAGCTCCTATTTTGAGTGAAAATAGGAATGAAGCACTGCTGCTTATTTACTCACATTTATAGATGTGATGGTATTTGTGAGGGCTTAAATGGGGTGAAACTGAGGGGTAAAATCAATCTTCTGGTCTTTTAGCTTATCTGTAGAAAACAGTAGACTTCTGATTTCTCCTACTTGGTTTAGAAATGTGTCTCCAAACACATGGACATATCTAGAATTCCCATTCCTTGGAAGTCTTAAGTTCTTTTTCATTGTCTAGTTTCAAATTAAAATATTTTCAACTATCAAGTAGGTTTAACAATATCCATTTACTGACTATATAATTATTTTTTTTCTTTTACCTTAACTTCTGTGCTCAGAAACGCTCAGAAGTGATGTTATAACTTGTATTTTTCAAAAGGAACCTTAAGTATTTTCCTGTCATTTTTCTTATCTCTGTGGATATCTCCTATTCAATTTCTTTTTGGCATTTCAGTTCTGTCCAGCTGAATTTATCTATATTTTTGAGAAAAGTAACTTAAATTCCTACAAAGTTTTACACAAATAACAGCCAAATTTACTTAAGATGCCCAAGTAGGCAAAGTGTGAACTCAGCAAGTCAAATTTAAAAAACATAAACACTAGTGTATATACTTCTGGTTCCCTTAGAAAAAAGCAAAATTATTTGATCCAAGTTTAGCTGTACAGAGAGACGCTTACAAATTGTCTTCTGTGTTTATTAACTGCCAAATCTTAAATAATGCAGAATAATTTTATATAGAAATGCAGGTTGTCTCACAGTTGCTATGTAGTCCTGGTAGACTACTAGAAACAATTACTCAGGTTTAAAACCAGAAGATGTTTGCAGAGGTAATAGTGATTTTTCTACTTCAGGAAGTGAGGAGAAAAATCTCATTTTAAAGTAGTTCTCAAAATGTCTCTCTTGTAACCACTTAGTAGATCTGTGCAAGAACAGCTTGTCCTCCAAGGTTGTCATAAAATTCAAGATTTGTGGTTCTCTGATGCATCTTTAAGCCTTTGTGGGGCTATTAAAATTTGGAGTTTCTTGAAGGAATATTAAGTAATTGGAACTTCTTGCACTGAATAATGTCAGTTGTGTCTCTTCAGTTTTGTGGTTGCTTTATGCACAGCTGCATTCAATTCTTTAGAGAGCCCTCATCTAAACTTACCAATGTGTATCTTCCTGTATATTTGCTAGCAAATTTCTATGAGGTTTCTTTCTTCTCCCCTCCCTCTTTTCTCTGCACTACCTTTAAAGGACAATCACTGAGCTCTTCTTTCACTTGAATGCTTATAAAAATTATGGGAGATACTATTACAGGTCTAATTGCAGAGACCTGTAATTAAAGGAGGACCTGTAGTCCTACTGTGATTGGGTTTGATTTTTTTTTTTGGTTTCTTCTTCAGATTGCTATTTGAGGATGTTCAGGTAGGAGGAATTTTTCAGCATTTAGTGAAGTCGTTATGTTCCCTGAGTGATCGTCCGGTAGTTTCTTCCCTGAATCAATTAATATTATCCCTGTGCTCTCTTTTGATGGATGCTTGCCTGCTGTCTGCCTGTTTGATCTTTACGATTGCAAGTTCCTTTGATCAAAGCAGTGACTGTCACTTCTGTATCTGTATTTTAAATGCTTGTCCCATATCTGGGCACCACCTTAGTTGCACAAACCAGGAACCTAGTCTGTTTGTACTTTTCAATGTCCATCTTTGATTTAATTTCTCTGTTTTAGTTTCCAAATAGGGATAAAATAGTGAGATAATAAGGAATGCAGAATTTTTCACAACAGAAATGAGAGAACTACAGATTCCTGAAATACAATTAACAATTTTGAAATATTATATTTTATCCTTGAGTCTTAATTTCTGATTTGGTAGATATAAGGGTACCATCATTGATACAGTCAAATCATTTGACCTTTTCTTACCCTTATGTGGAGGGATGGGCAGGTATCTCTTAGAAGTCTGGTTTCTTGTTTACTGTGATCTCCAAGGAAAGGAACCATAAGTCATCATTGTACATCTCTAGTATCACCCTTACCTTTGAAACCATAAATAACTGCCTACTTGCTGCTATTTAGTGATGCTATTTAGTGGTTTTCTAATGGTCATGCTGAAAGGGAAGATGCACTTACATGGATCTCCTTGTTGGTTCCTACCCTGCTTTCTTTAGAATTTAATGAAACTTTAAAAACTCATCAACCAAAACCTGTCTGCATCAAGGTCAAAGCCAGAGACAAATAAACTTGATGGCTTCTCCTTGTGTTAACACCTTCATTTAGGAGCACACTTTCACTGGTCATGGGCCTTACTCATAGTTTAAAAGTCAAGACACTTTGCATTGTTTATCAAAATGGGTTTGCAAGAGCAGGACTTGTCAGGTTTGATACAGTTTGTTGCTGTTTTAAGACTGCAAACTTGTAAGATACAGGTATATTATGTTCTCAAAGTAAGTCCATTAGA